ACAAGGCCACCCACTCTCTAAATAAGGGAATCTGGGGTGAAAGGAAAGGGTTTTTTTAAAAAGCGTTTACAATATCAGTTTCTTCTTTTAACAGTGGTGACTATACATCACTTTTGAAACAAGGAAATTGCTCTGGAAACATCAGTAGCCGTAAAACATTTAGGAGGAAGTTAATCTATCATAATTAAGTGTAAATAATTTAAAAATCCAACTCTGATATTTCAGCTGTGTAAATATATTGAGTCTGCAACACACTAGTGAACATGTCATTTTCAAGCACAGCTTTGATTATACAAAATGTAAATGAAGATATTTGAAGTACAAACCAGGGCAAGCAAGAGGAGTATTGTACTCATAAAACTAACAATCACAAAAGCAACTGGTAAAATAAATGGGAGGTGATGATCAGAAAAAGCAAGCAATACCCACATTTGCCAGTATTTTCATACTTGGTTTGACCAAATATTCAGATTTCTAAACACGTAGCAGAGAGGAAGGGAAGTACATTCCCTGCAAAGCAAAGTAAACTGGGATTCCAGTCCAAGTAGCCTGATTTAGGCATTGCATCAAATGTTTAAGGCTGAAAATAATGGTAGGGATGAGTCCAGCCACTGTCTTTTTTTTGTCCATTAGGTCTCAGAGTGCTGCGTGCAAGGCACAGATCTTACTTTGGCACTTGACCATCTGCAGCTGCTTCACTCTAGCCCCTAGTGACTTATGTCCATGAAGTCCATCTTAATGAAGTAGAGGAAAGGGTCTTCAGGAATATAAAAGATTTACCCTGCTTAGCATGGAGCTGTGTGCAATGTGAAATAGAGAGCAAGCCGTGCATGTGCTGGTATTTGAAAAAACCCGTGGTCTGAACGGCCCCGTCTAAGAGACTGTGTGAACTGTGTTTGTAGCTGACTTGGAGTGCTGAGCGCTGCAGTGCGCGGCCAGCTTGCCACCAGTCATTCCAGTAATAAAAATGCTGAGGCCTTTTTGCCTATTTATTTCTGCTTCCTTTGAGCTTTGGGTTTACTGGTACACGAAAGAAAAAAAACAAAAACAAAAACAAAAACCAAGCATATGTTCAGTTGCTCAATCAACCTTTTCTCAATCCACACTCGGTGATCTCGGTGAGTCATTACGGCATAATTACAATTTGAGTGTGATACGCTGTTTGTAGAAAAGTATCTATTTTTAGCGGAAGAAACACTACGGTCCCTGAAAGGAGGAGAAAGAAATAAAAAAAAGGAAGCAAGAAAATCTCTAACCAGCAAATCAGTGCTATTGTTAACTGATGTTACGAGACACCCTGTAGATTTACAATGCTTGCATTCAGCCACATGAAAACCGCACTGAAAAGAATGCCTACCAGGGGTTAAATTCATATGCCTGCGCTGCAGCCTATTTCTGTCAACACTCAGCTCAGGAAATAAACATTTATGCTTTCTGAAATGAAAGTGTATTTTTGAAGACTAGCCGTCAGATATTTTTTGCCCTTCACACTTTCAAATGCTTAGCCTTTTTTGTAAGTTGACTGCAAAGTGCATCAGTTTGCTAGACAAAAAGAGAAAAAAAAAATCTTGACAAGTGCCCATGGCATCATTGTCAAGCACACGAGTGTCTAGTAGAAGATGGCAGGAGGGTTGGCACAAAACATGCTTCCTTCAAGCTTCTTACCTCAGGGGTACCTGACTCTTGAGAAGCCTTTCAATCCTTCCAAATGACATTATTGCAAACTGTCATCTGGTTTATTTGGAGTGTGCTGTATCGCAGATAAACATGCTATTTAACTGCAGGTCAGGGTACAAAGTCATTCTGCTAGCAAATGCCTGAGATACATTAAATGGCGTTGGCTTGGGGAGGGAGGTGGAGAGAGATCAAAGTTGTCACCGATACGGTACATGCTAAGGGAGAAGAAGATACACAACATTGTATTTTTAAAAGCCATTATGCAGTGCTACGTTTAAAACATTGACCTGCAAGACTCTTAAGGACGCACACAACGCAGGACAAAGTTCTTGGGGCGGTTTGGAAAGAGCTCGCAGCTGTGACTGGGGAGGATCACACTGGTCTGGGAAGCTGAAAGTGTATTTTGTCTAATTTGGGAACTTTTTAAAAAATAGCTACATTTTAAAATAGAAGATATCACTTGTCACAGAATGTGGCTGATCTAGAGGATTCGTATAACAAAAGCTCAGAGAATCAGAGCGCAGCTTGGCATGAAAAAAGTATGACCTCCTCCAAACAATTAAAAATAAATCTCTGTATGTAAATACATATGCCTGTGTAATCTATTCTTTTAACTGTGACTTGCTGAACAGCGATTAAAAGGGCAGTGGTGTGGTACAAGAGACATGCTGGATGCTTTCGCATTTTCTGAAAAATCAAAACAAACCAAAGCCAGATTAATTACAACTTGATGCAGCTTTACATTCCCATGAGGGTTGCCTTTAAAAGTTAAAACATGCTTTAACCGAGGGAAAGTTACTTCCAAGGGAAAGTTACTTCGATCAGGAAGAAAATAATCATGTTTCTTTGATATATTATTGGAGAGCAGAACAGTGTGTTTATATTTGTCAGTTTTCCTATAATGTAAAAAATTTCTTTTGATTTTTTGTGTGTCATATAAAAACAATTAGTATATTTACTGCACCAGACTACAGATTTTTCAAGAGTGCAGTACAATAAATTACAGGCAACATCCCATTTTTCCTCCTCACAGGGCATATGTAATTTCCTTTGACTGTGGCAGACAATAAATGTTACTGAAACATAGCATTATTTATTTTAAAAAAAAACACCAAACCTGTACTAAAATAGATAAATAAATAAAATAAGGAAGTTGGGACTTTTTAGGGGAAAAAAAAAGAATGAAGAGTAGTTGCAGGTTAAACTTGTTTAATCAAAACTGATTTTATTGCTTTTTGCTTAATTAAACTCCCCAGAAGTGTGTGAAACATTGTTATACCTGAAAAATTGTTGATTTGTAAATCACAGGGACAAAAGGGCTCCACTGCAACTTTAAAGTTTCTATGCACGTAAATGTCAATAGAGTGCCTTCTCCATCATCAGCACTAAATTCACATTGATGCCTCTTTTCTTCTCTGTATTGATCCTTCCATGAGAACGTAGATTTGTATCTGTTAATTAATGCGTCCTGAAACAGCGTTTGTATTAATCAGGCAGATAAGAAAAATTGGATGCCTGCACCCTCATGACAACCGTAAAAGTGCTGGCCCTGATAAAATCGTGGATGGACCTCAATAAAAAAGTTCCTCCTTCCACTCAATAAACTAATCATCCTGCTTTTAATTATTCGGCAGAAAGATGTGTGGAGATTGGAGAATGTGTAAATCTATTTACTAACAGCAGTGTCTGGGAGGGAGAATGGGGCTGTCACAGGACGGTGCTGCAGGCTACGTTCTCTGTCCATCTGCTGCTGCAGAAAAAGTGGTTCTTGAAAGACGGGAAGGAACAGAATTGTTGAAGCTAATTGAAATCATGAATTCCTCCCTATAACCTTTCAAATGATTATTTCTTCTCCATTTTCCTCTTACTTATTTTAATCGCGCATGTGTTATTTTCCATTGTCACCTCTTCAAGGGTTTCCTGTTGTTGTTGGCTCAGTTTTTGTTGGGTTTATTTTTTTTATAAGGCAGGGAGCTACAGTTGTATCATAAGACTCAAAAGACAGTAAGAGAAAATGAAAACAAATAAGGAGGGGGAGAAAAATGAGAGAGAGAGCATGCAGCCAGTCTTATGTTTCATTTTTTATGGATGCCTGGTGGTTTGGATATGGAGTTTTCTTTTTTATTGTATTAGTTTTGCTGGTTAGTGCTTATAGAGAAAATCTTGTTTGGAGTCAATGCCTTGCAGATTTGCTAGTTTATGATAGATTCCTGCTTGACTGTAACTCTTGACTTTCAAAACAGAAAAATGCATTTAAGTGTAATTGAACACAAAAAAAAGGATGTTCTTACAGCGGGAACCCTGTCAAAGGACGTGTAAGCAGCTCCATAAACAACTAAATGAAAGCCTCAGACATGTCTTAAGACCCTTTAAGAAAAGCTTGACTAATCCCCTTTGATGATTTTATTAAGTACTTGTAGTTGATGGTGCCAACTGGCAAACTACTGCGTTTCACCAACAGGCCAGGAAAATCACTTCCTCTCCCATATTGTTTTGTAGCTCCTAATGTGATTGGGATATTAGCAGTTTGATATAATAAATTAACAGGTACTGTATACAAGAGTCTGAAAAGGTAAGACAGCAAATCTGTTTGCCCTTAGTGATCCTATTAGAAAAGGCAGCAGGGGACAAAAAAAGGCAAAAGTTAAATTCGTTGAGAGGGATTTGTTAAATTTTTGGTTGCCCCCAGAAAAAGGATGATGTGACTGCTATTCAGTTGGCACTTTAATACGTCACCCTGTTATTTCAACAAGTATAGTAGAGATGGAAGCCATTACAGAAGTAATTAGCATCTTTTCTGGGAAGGATAGGTGTTACTTTCCTTTGTCCTGAGGTTAAATTGAAAGAAAATTTTCCTCTTTGTGATAATCACCTTAATTCTATTAAAATATCAAATCTGCCCTTCAGAAAAAAAGGTTTTTTGTTTTCTCTCCTAAATTATCCTTCTGTGTTTATGGTAATGATGAACACAGTCATCAGATCCCTGTTGCACAGCATCAGGTTTTAGAACTAAACCTGAGTATTTTGGAACAAAGAAGGCATCGCAGTCACTGCAGTACTCCCCAAATTAATATGATTCCTACGGAAAGAGCCTGCAAATTCCAACTTATTTATAACTTTGTTTGTTGATTAGAAAGTGTTTGATTTTATATTGATTTGTTTTCCTGTAGTAGGATGAAGAGAGGCACAAAAGCAGAAGGGAGAATGCTAGAGTATTTTACATGTTTTATCTCAATGTATATAAAAATAAATCAAAAAGGAGCAGATTTCTGACAAATCCAAACATGCTTAATATTTTTCCTGTATTTTTTTTCCCTATTCAGGATTCTCCACTTTGTCTCTAGCTGACCAGATGAGCCTTCTGCAGAGTGCTTGGATGGAGATTTTGATTCTCGGTGTTGTATACCGGTCACTTTCTTTTGAGGATGAGCTCGTATATGCTGAAGATTATATTATGGATGAAGACCAATCCAAATTGGCAGGCCTTCTTGACCTTAACAATGCCATACTGCAGCTGGTAAAGAAATACAAGAGCATGAAGCTGGAGAAAGAAGAGTTTGTCACCCTCAAAGCTATAGCACTTGCTAATTCAGGTTGGCAGAGCGGCATGACGGTTGCTACATTTTTAATATGTCACTTTTTTTTTTCCCGTTAACACTTTCTGCATGCTTGTTTTAAACTTGGGTTTAGAGTAAGAATTTGCTAGTCAGACCTTAGTCTAAAAGGCAACAAACAAAAGTTTATAATAAAAAGAACTTTCTGTTTCTAGGTAATTGTGGAAATATGTTCCTAAAGGAGTGTAGAATAGTGCACTGTATGGTTTCGAGAGTATTTTACAGTCAGAGATCCTTTCAAATGAATATAGATGTTCTCATAGATCCATTCCATAATCCAGATGAGTCTAATTATTGCAATTAAAGTGAACAGAAAGGATGCATGAGAATATGCCAGGTAGGTTCTCTTTAAAGGCAGCTGCTGATTTATTTGATAGGATGAATTCAGCATATGAGAGGAGGGAGGAAATTCTTACTTAAACTCCCAAGGACCACACCTTACCTCTGTGTTTAGGCAAATGCTTCTGCAAAAATTATTACCTGTGCACCAAGGGTTAAAAATCTACAAAAGATTTTTTTTTCCCCTGTATTTGAATATAAAAGTGCTGAAGCAGTGAATACTGTCAGATAAGTAAAAATCGTTTGTGCTTTGTTGTTTTTCCTTTTGTGTCTCCTTAATGCTTTATTGTGGTCTTAAGTCCCTTTTAGCATTTGCATAAAGTTCACGATAGATCCCTCTTTAATGACGTGCTGATCATTAGATACCTGTGTGTCAATAACATGCTCTGATGCTATGTTCCATTGACAGTCACACCGTGCCCCTCCATCTGCTTTTGTTTTGACCCTATCTTTGAACTTTATCTTGGTTGCTGGCCAGTAGTTTTCCCTTTAATTACAAGAAGGAAACTGTCAATAAAATCTGTTAAATGGGATGCAATGAGTGGCTTGAATGGGCGGACGGCTATTTGTTCAAATTCTGCAGCATTCAAGGTATTGACAGTTTGTTTTCTGGGGCCATATGTGACGATCAATCTCAGGCTGGGCTCAGCCGCGCTGAAAAATGAAAAACCAGATTGCTTTTGCTTACTTGTGGATGACGACTTGTGATTTGGCGCGGTCCTAGTGAGATGAGACCTTCTGCCCAAATTGCCCCCCTGAGAGCCAGGACGCGTGACTGTTTTTAGAAATAATTTTTTAATTGATTTTGTAATTAACAGTTCATCTACAATATTGATGCATGAATCCTCAGATTGATAGGAGGGAAATTGTTTTCAACAATGAAGTTGTACTTTCCTATTTGTCTTTGTAATGTGATTTAGCACTCTGCATTTTTAATTGGAAATATAATTCAAAAACATTCAAAGCCAAAGTGCTTATTAGTTTCTTTGTTAAATATTCTCCACCCCACTAACTCTGCCCTTAGTTTTAGAACATTGTCTTATTTCCAGAATAAACAAAATGCTGAAAAGCCCCTCAAAGATTGAAATTAATTTTAACTGAAGATTTATTTATAATTTTTGACCATTGTAAATAGACACTTGAGGATGCCTTGCAGCTACAAGGGGATTTTTCTCAAAATTGGTCATGCTTAATGAACAGAGCAAGAAAGTTATCTGAAATTAGGAGACTAAATTGAGAAAATGTTTTGATTTATTTTCATTCCATAATTCACAGACTGAATTAGAAATATTTCTATAGTTTACTTGATAAAAAAATAGAGGTAGAATTTAGAGACATGATGTTAAATACCACTCACATTTTTTATTTTTTTCCAAAAAAAGACATGCGGTGTTTAAATAATAATAAAAGATACTGCTGCCAAAAAAAAGTTTAGTCATACATTGCACATAGAGTGTATCAAAATGATCTGTGGCTTCATTAACTTCACTGGGAATTACAACCAGGGTAATGTTGGCATTAATACAATTCAGCGTACTAGAATTCAGGGCACATGTTAGTGAAAACATTTCCTTCCCTCATCTGAAAAGAAATAAGATTTGTAGTTTAAAATGAAGCTGTTGCAAGGAGGCATTAAAAATCAGCCCCACCATCTGACCTCCCTTTCAACAGAATATTTTGACTGCTGACATTTGACATTTCAGCCCCAGGTTGTGCAGGGAGCAGATACCAAACTTCTGTCAGCCGTAGCTACACTAACCTGTAGGTGCAAAATACAGCACCTGCACAATTACAGCCCATCAAAGAGTATCAGACCCCTAGAGTTTTAGTTCACAAATGCTGCTAAAACTAAAGTAAAATTCAAGTAAAATTCAAGGTTTTGTCTTTTTTTTATAGACAAAACCAGAAATAACTTATTTTCATGTAACTGTGAACTTGATTAATAATAAATGCAGCTATATCCAAAAAAAGAAGAAATAAAATGCCATTATAAAATCAATTAGCTAGCAATTCACATTTTAATATATTTTGTTGCTTCCAGAATTTCCACTATTTATTTTTCTGGTTTAAAATATATTAGCCTTTTTATAGCTGTAGAGAGAATAGATGAAACATATTAAGAAATCTTAGGCATTTCAGACATTTTTGACATATCTGCAGTGTCTAGAAAGATTCCCAGGTTGACTCTACTGTAAACAGTAGACAAAGATGGTTTTATATCTCTGTATCTGTGTTAGTGATTTATGATACAGTGTCCTAGTACCTTCCCTGCTGGCGTGTAGAAGCAGGAAAAAAGAAACTGTAGATTGTCTTCATATTGATTGTATTTTGTTTGAATAAATACCACAAGCTTTTGTTTGGCCAACAAATCTCTGTGTTGTGAGCATTAAAACACCCCAGCTGCTAACTTTTCTTTAGGCCTACACAGTCAACTTGTATAGTACTTGATCTGAGATAATCCTGCCATTTGGTTTCTAAAAAGTGGGGAGGAGGAGCCTTTTTTTCAGGGAGATTCTGGGGCGTTATCAAATATTCACTTTGCAGCGTTGGCCAGTGCCATGCTGCTTCTATACGTTTCCAGAAACGCAAGATGTATCAGCCTCGTAGATTGCCACTGATTTCAAGTGGAGTGCTGTTAGCATCTGAAAGATCAAATACGGGTATAGAAGAGCACAATACTGAAATGTGTAGATAGACGCATTTCAGTCATCTGTGTTTTCAAGTCTATACAGGCACAATTTATAGAATCCTAGAGTGCCTTGGGTTGGAAGGGAGCTTTTAATATGTAATGCTTAATATGGAATTTATCAGGTTACTTTTAAACATCTGCATTGATTTGACAGTAATTAATACCGCCTTGATGCCTGAACTCCAAAGGAGTCTCTCTCACCACGGCATTGCCCTTGTCCTGTCACGATCAGGAGTTCCTCCCTTCCTTCGCCACCTTCTCCACGCAAAAGCGAGGAGGTACCTTGAAGCTGCAGGATGCGGCTGCCCTGTGTTCCACCTCACGCCGCCCAAATGAAGCAAGCTGGCACCAATGAGCACTTTGTTTACCCACGCAGAAAATCAACTTGGAATGGTTTCCAAAACATGCATGTACCAATTACTTCCTCGTGTGTAAGGGAAGGGGAGATATTTACAAAATACATCTGAGGCGTACACAAGTGTGCACGTGCACACGTGGAACGCTCCCACACGGAGAAATTGACCCACTCGTCTCCTTTGTATTAGAAAATGCTTTCATGTATCGATTAGGTAATGCTAAACAGGGAGTTGCAGGTGAGCAGTTTTTTGAAATTGCCTAATCAGTAAGGACTAAATTATGCCTTCAGGCCAAATGTTGCAGAAGAGCTTAGGAGTCACAACTGAGACCAGATTTTTAAGAGAAGCTCAGTTCCCATCTAAGACTTAACATAAGGAGCTAGAGTGTCAAAAGGCATTAGCACATCTGAAAATCTGAACCATGTGTACCTGCCTAATAGGCTGCTGGCATCTTGAAAAATCTGACCCAAATGTGGGTGCTAGGCACTTAACAGTATAACTCTATGCACTGTTGAAAATTTAGTCTTAAATGCTAATGCCTACTGTCTATCCTGTACCACAAGAAGGAGAAAAGGACCTCCACTTACCATCGCAATTTCTGGTCTCTCTTACTAAACCTTCTAAAAAAAAATTCACAGCACTTTTTCGGTACAGAAGGAGTAAAGACCAAGAAGTGTCTTGTGCATTGTATTTAATGAAGCACAGAGACGCATAGATGCCAGTAAAGTTACACCATCCTCTATCCTGGTAAAAAACTTAGTTTGTTCTTACACCTTAGCTTTCCAGCCCCCAAAACAATGTACTTGGAGCACTAGGCTGTCATCAGTAAATAATATTATCATATTAAAAATTAATTGGTAGAGCCCTGTAAATGACTTATGCCACAGGACATCATCTTTATTCCCAGTAGAGACTGTGACTTACCTTACATCACAAAATACTATATTTAGTTTCTAATAAAGGCATTTTTTTAATTTGATTTTATTTAGTCATCATGTTAGTGTTAGAATTGCTGTATGTCCTGCATAGGCTATGTATACACACCTGTGTGTTATTGGTGTGTTACCAATGTTTATTTTGCCAAGTAGAAATAGCAAGGTCTGTTAACTCTTTCGTGTGGTTTTTTATAGAGTGATACAGCATAGAAACAAATTTTTAGAAAAGCGTGTTGCCACTATAGTCAGAGTTTTTGTGTTTCTTGAAAACATTTTCTTCTTTATGTTCCGTTTGCATGTAATCAAAGAGGTGGTACCCACAATTCTTAGAGAAAATAAATAGCTGTGGTATCATTTGCTTAATTATAGCATTAAGCAAATGGTAGTGGAGTTAATTAATGGTTTAATTTTTAAAATTTTTTTTCTTGGCCGTTGGTCTAGTAACTGAATAACTGAGATATTCTTCAGTTATGAAATAGGTAGATATTATTTACATCTTAGGAGCTTAAGAATCAGGAAGAGCAAGAAGCGAGCCCAGCCACGTGCCGGGCAGGAGGACAGAGGGGGCCCGGGGTTCCTTGCTGCCGCTGCAGGACCCTGAGGGGAGAGCGATGCCCTCAGCCGAGGGCCAGCGTGGGGTTGACAAGCAGATTTTCTGGG